ATGCCATGACTGCAATGGGACAGTAGGCTTTTATCCTCATTTAAGTATGCAGAGAGGAAATGACCTGCTTCTCCTTGGTGCCCCAGAATAATCTCTGGGTTCACTTGGCAAAGGCAGCCTTGCTGCTAGGGTGTCCAAACATCCACCACAATGCACACCTGGGCTCCCGACGCTCTGTTACTGGACAGCACGCTGGAGGTGGAGTGCCAGCCTCTGCTCTGCCACCAACTAATGGTGTCACTTTAGTAAGTCACCTGGCCCCTCTGAACCTTGATTTACCCATGTGCAAAATAGGGATCCCAAGCAAACCCCCTGCTGCCTCCATCCTAGGATTGTTGTTAGTTTCAAAGGACAATGAGTGAAGAAGAACACTGTCCACTGACAGAGGCTGGGATTTTTACAAAGGCCTGTGGTTGGTAACACCAACAGTTGGACCTGAAGGCTTGGAAAAGTTCAACATCCCTTCCAAGTACTGTTGAAGTGCTTGTGTAATTTGCACGAATCCCCCCAATCCCTGAAATTCCAGACCGAGCAAACATGCTCAGAGAAAGATGTCAGACACAAAAGGCTACATATCCTATGGTTCCATTCCTATGAAATAATCAGAATAGGTAAATCCACAGAAACAGAAAGTAGTTGAGTGATTGCCAGGGGCTAGAGGCATGGTAGAATTAGAGAGTGGCTGCTTGATTGTCAGTAAATTTCCATTCAGGGTAATGAAAAACTTCTGGAACTAGATAGTGGGCTACCTCCATCATGTCCCACATCTTCATTACCTTCTTCTGAGCAAGTTTCCAGGGAGGCTGGAAATCTGGTCTGCTTGGCCAACATCAGCTTCTGGAAAACTCATGGAAAAGTGTCATAGTATTGAATAAAGCTGTTGATAGAGTGCTTGTGAGAGGAACTAGAACTAGCAAGCAAATTGACCTGAGCGGAACTGGTGGAGGCACTAGCAAGGACAGAGGGGAGACAGAATAAGTGACAGTTTGCACCTTCTGGACCACTTTGCACAGGGCCTAAGTGCCCAGTGCCCTTAGGAAGGAAAAAGAGGCTCCCTGGGCATCCTTAACCTCTTACCCTCTTACATAATAGGAAGTGTGCAGACCTTTTGCTGGCCTTTTATTGTGTCCATGTTAAACTCCCAGCAAAGGTGTCCCGAATTAGGCATTTCTGGTAGCTTGCCAGACTTCTTCATTCTTTATTTCTTTATGCCCACCTTATGAACCTATACTGTGGTCTTCTAATCTGTACCTTTTCTAAGAAATCTTTCTTTGCCCTTTTTGTCATTCTGAACTAAAACTGTAGAAAGGAAATCATTGCTATATGTCAGCGTTCAGGCAGAACCAGAAATATTGTTGGCTTCAGAGCTGAACGTGGCCCTAATCAGAAGGGTGGCCTTTGTGTTCCCATTACTTAGGGGAGTGGGAGCCATCACATGCTCTGAAATGCATTCTAATGAATGTTTATGAGGCCATGGGGATCACATTGGTGGCTTTGTCTGCCTGATTAGGAAATGGGACTCATCAGGGTTTTACGTATGGAGAGAAAGTCATTCATTTCTAAAAGATGCCAGGGTACCCTCCCTCCCTCCTTCCCCATCCTACCACGGAAAGCAGGACCTATGAGAGAACTGGCTGGGAGTAGCCCAAAGCAAATCACATCCACTTCCATTTTCTAGGGAAAGAGAGGGTTCAGATCTGCTCACTAGAAGTCCTGTCAGCGTCTACTGCTTCACTCACAGTCACAGTGAGAGGCATGTGGCCTGAAGGAAGCAGAGGGCGGCTGGTAGCTGGAACCAACAGCTTGCTCTCTTTGAGCCTGGAAAGTGGCATGTACCTGAAGCAGCAAGGGAGGTCATTCCAGAACACTGCACTTGATCTCAAACTGTGGCCGTGGGGTTTAATCAAAAGCACATGGCCCCGGCAGGCAGAACCTGAGCAGCAGCTCCCCCTGGCCCAGATGACCTGGCAAAGGTACCAGTGTGACAATGGGCATGAGGAGAGCCCGGCCAACCTCTTGCAGTTGAAATGAGTAACAAATCATGGGACTGCAAAAGAGAAGACACTGAAGCAAGCCTTTATTTAAGGGCAAAACTCACTAGGGTTCTCACCTCAGGCTGACTGTGGAGCGCTCTTACCATAAAATCCCAAACATGGAGCCTTTGACAAAAGGGGTCTCTTTTAAACCTACCAAAAAAGGAAAGCCCTCTGCCCAGACAGCAGCCTAGTTGGGGATCACCAGAGGGACATGCCTGGAACAGCAAGGGGACCCCCCTGAAACGTGTACTGTGACAGGTACCAGCAGCTGCCCAGCTGCAGATTTGGCCTAGCAAAGGTGGCACCTGCTCCAGCAAATTGGATTCAACCAGCATGAGATGGCCCTTGATACTCCAAGGAGGTGTCCTGGGCTCTGGTTGGTTACCGAGGAGCTAGCTGGTTTCCTGATCCATTTTCATGGATGTCATTGATGGTGTCTGAAAAGTCACATGCACACAAGACCACATTTAGAAGTTCAACCCTTCTTCCTTTGCCAATGGCCCCTAACACAACCTTTAGTGTCCAGTGATCGTCAGTGATCGTGCCCTGCCTTCCCACACCCTGCCACCTTAGACATCATGGACAGCACATTGGACCCAACCATTGCCAGCTCGGCCTCCCTGCAGTGGATCCTTGCGTAAAACCCACTCGGTCAACCCTGATTGATCCATTTCATTTATTTCTGTTTTCAACATGTCAGGTGTCTTCAGATTCTTTGGGGGAAGGTAGGGGGGACCAAGTATCACTTTGGGATCCACTGACTTATTTTGAGCCTGCTCCATAATTGGCAGAATGAGTGGCCCAAGCTCCCTGTGCTCCAAGTCATTTGTGCCCATTTATCCATCGATCCATTCAGCTGCTATTTATTGATCACCTGCTGTGCGCAAATATTTGGTGAGCTGCTCCCTGGACAACTCGAGGACAGTGTGCCTGTTGCCTTCAGCCAGGCTCCTGGATAGGAAACTGCTCAGATGATGGGCTGCTCTGTCCCTTCTCAACCTTTCCTGCCAGATCCAAGTGGTCAAGCCTCAGATGCACTTGGTGGCAGAAGTGCCCTTGTTTGGGTCATGTGCACCTCTCACTCAAGGTGGTGAGCCCTTCTGGAGGGACGAAGCAGGATCTACCCCAGGATGGATGAAGACAGTGTGATGGGAGGCCACTGAGTGGTCACAGAGGGGCCCTGCATCTGGCCTGGGCAACTCCTGGAAAATCCTGCCCTCCCTGGGCCTTAGGGACTCATCATTAAGTGGAAGAGATTAGACTCCCAGGCCCCTTCTACATTGTCTTACTAATGCTGGGTACCAGTTGGTGAAGCCATACCAGGTACCACACAATCTGCCCCATTTCACTGAATAGAGAAGCAGCAGGAGAAAATAGGTAACAACTATCATTCTCCATTCACAAATGAAGAAATGGGGGCTCAGAGAGGTTAAATGGCAGAGCAGAGACCTAGCTGTATCTTCCCCAGGACCGGGACCCTACCCCATGCTCCCTTTACCCGCACCCTGGGCTGGTGGTTTTCAACCTGTATGTCCATAAAGAGTCAGCCACAGAGGGCACAAAACTCCTGGTGCCCAGGCCCCACCCTGGATGAGATTAAAGCAATTGATATTTGACGGGAGGCCCCAGGACCCTGGATATTTCTAAGTGATTCTGGTGTGCACCAAGGCCTGAGGCATGCAGCCCTGGGTGGTCTACTTTAAGGTTCATTTAGCCATGACAGTCACGACCCTATGCTGGCAAGTGAGCGGACGTCAGAGACTCAGCACTCTGTGTCCTAGAAAGATTGCCAAAGCCAAAAGAGGAGTTTGTTCCTATGTGGAAAAGTCTTTGAAGAGAATTATATTGGTTTACCTGGTGGCATTCAAATGATTTCTAAGTCCCTCTCTTCCTTTTCTTATTTTGATCATTCCCCCACAGTCCTTGCTCCTTTCCCCTTTTACCTGCTGACCCAGTCGTGGACATGAACATGACAGCCACGGAGCAGTGTCCAAAGCTGGGAAAGAGTAGCAAAGACTGCATTCCTTACGGCTTTGCTTTGTTCCAAAAGGCCAGGCTTTCACACACAGTGGGCAACTCTCCCAAGGAACAGATCCCACAGTGAGGTCCTTTCCTGCTGTTTGATATCTCTGCAACCTTAGGATGCATCTGCAGGGAGGAATTTTTTGCTTAAATAACTTGATACTTGGGGTTTTTGTTACATGTCCTTCTCAAACAAACAATACAGAAAGGTAGAGAATAGAAAGGGAATTTGCCAGTAATCCCCAAGAGAGGACTACTTAAAATGGTTTTCCCAAGATATTTTTGTATGTGCAATGCATGCGAGTGTGTGTGTGAGTGTAAAGGGAAATGGAATAATGACTGCAATTACTGTTCTGAAATTTGTGCTTTTCCTTAAGCAATACAACTGCGCAAAAGAACACAGTCAGATCAACTTCATTCCTGTTGAATTCTGTTTTATCAAAGCAGGCTGATGCATTTGACCAGGACAGACAACATAAAAGCTCAATGTCTGTATTACAGTTTTTCATGTTTGAAATTGGGACATCTGTAAACAAGCAGAAACTGAAAATATTCAGCTCCCTATAGTTTGTTCTTGAATGCCTGCCTTTGGCAGCAAGTTCATTTAGTGACTCTGGCATAGTTTCACCGAACTCCTCTAAGTGGGCAAAGAATATCCTTTGCATAACTTTCTGTCATGTTTAGTATACAGACAGTATAATGCCTTATTTGAAATGTAACAAGACTATTTAAATGAGGCATAGCAACAAAGAAACAAGCATCATTTTTCCAAAAATAGGCTGTGTTTTATAGTTTTGACAACTAGAAGTCTTTAAACTGAGGTCTGTTTTATCTTGCAGGTTTCCTGTTCATTAGCATTAATATGCCAAGCCTTTATAAAAATTCCTCTCTCTCTCTCTCTCTCCCTCCCTCCCCTCTCCCTCTCTCTCTCTCCTCTTTCAGCCACAGGGACCCATTAAGAGGAGACAGGAAGGAGACGACTTCCAATTTCCAGGCATGGCTGATGGAGGTTACCCTAATAAAATTAAGAGGCCCTGCCTTGAAGATGTCACCCTCCCCATGGGCCCAGGTGCCCATCCCAGTACCCTCTGTGCAGAGCTACAGGTCCCCACATTAACAATGACTCCTAGCTCTGCAACAGTGGGACCAGCTGGCCAGTCCTTACTACTCGAGCACAATCCCATGAATGGCAGCGTGACAAGCTCCCAATTCGGGGTGCAACCGACTACAGAAATGGGGCTGAAAGGGCCCAGTGTTCCTTACTACGAGAAAATCAGCAGCATGCCAGCTGTAGACCAGGAGCTTCAAGACCTGCTGGAGGAGCTAACAAAAATTCAGGAACCTTCTCTGAATGATCTAGATCTGGAAAAGATCCTGGGGAGCAAACCAGAAGACCCACTGGTCTTATACCACACCCAGACACCGGTAGAGACACCACCCAAGCTTCCGGTTCAGATGCCACAATTAGAGGGCCTTGATTCCGGCAAGGAGTTCGCTTCCAGTTGCAGCCAAGTGACTGGTGTGTCACTGCCAGTCCTGCCCTCCTCCACAGGGATCAGCTACTCAATTCCTTCTACCAGTAAGCAGATGGCATCACCCAGTTCCTCGATAGCACAGGCCAAGAACCAGGCCATGCCCCCTGTCACTGTGCCCCCATTACCGGTGCCTCAGTGGCACCATGCCCACCAGCTGAAAGCACTGGCAGCCAGCAAGCAGGGATGTGCTACCAAGCAGCAGGGCCCCAGCCCCACTTGGTCTGGCCTGCCCCCTCCAGGCCTCTCCCCACCTTACCGCCCAGTGCCGTCACCACACCCACCGCCCCCGCCGCCGCCGCCCTTCAGCCCTCAGAGCTTTATGGTATCCTGCATGTCATCCAGTAGCTCATCGAGTAGCACTTTGCAAGGCTCACCCAATGCCTTACTCTCCAGCATGGCGTCCAGCAGCAATGCCACCCTTGGGCCCACCCTGCCCTACGCTCCTGAGAAGCTCCCCAGCCCGGCTCTCAGCCAGCAGCCACAGTTCAGCCCCCAGAGCTCCATTCTTGCCAACCTGGTGTCCTCTACCATCAAAAGCCCCCAAGGGCACCTGATGTCTGCTCTGCCCACCAGCAACCCCGGGCCGTCCCCACCCTATCGCCCGGAGAAGCTGTCCAGCCCAGGCTCGCCGCAGCAGTCCTTCACCCCCCAGCACTCCCTCATCCGGAGCCTCACTCCCACCAGTAATCTGCTGGGCCAGCAGCAGCAGCAGCAGCAGCAGCAAGCAAATGCCATCTTTAAGCCCATGACCAGCAACTCATCCAAAACCCTGAGCATGCTCATGCACCAGGGGCTGGCCAGCTCCAGCCCAGAAGCCTCCGAGCCGTTTACCTTTGGCAACACCAAGCCCTTGTCCCATTTTATTTCTGAGCCGGCCCCGCCAAAGATGCCCTCCATGCCTGCCACCTCTAGGCAGGCTTCCCTGCTCCACTACCTGCAGCAGCCCCTGCCGGCGCAGGCCTCATCTGCCACTGCCTCCTCCACTGCCACTGCCACCTTGCAGCTGCAGCCACAGCCGCAGCAACAGCCTGAGCATTCATTCCTCTTGCAGCAGATGATGCAGCAACCCCAGCGCTTTCAGCGATCGGTGGCCTCCGAGTCCATGCCCACTCTGCCCAGACAGGTAAGACAATCTCGTCTCTGATGGTGTCCTCTTTTGTTTGGGAAATCAGACCTCAGTTGTATGCCATGGATACCTGCTTTGGAGGGCAAATCCAGGCTATAGTCCTCTCTCGAGCTGGACTGGACTCTGGAAAAGTCTATGTAAGGCAGCTAATCATGTGTGGTTAAAACGGTTTTCATGAGGCCAAGGTTATGGGTACAGTGCCTGTTCAGGTCACCTAATTCCCCAGAGAGGAACACTGTACCCACCAGCCGCTCCCAGGGGAAGGAGCTGGGAGGACAAGTCAGGACTGTACAGAAATGGGCTGTCTTCTCCTGCACTGAGCCACAGAGCAGGGCTCACGAAGCCTGTAGGATGTCAGGAAATTGCACAGAAGTGCTTGGGTCTTGGCCCTACTGATATAAGGATCACACTTAGCCTTCCACAAATGCCACAGCCAACTTTTGCTGAGCAACTTCAGTGTGCCGCTCATCACTATGTTGGATGCTGAGGCAGATCCTGAAAGGAAAGACAGGCGCTTGTAAGGTACTCTTCTCATCTGCCCTTTACAAACAGAGAAACTGAGGTTCAGAGAGTTGCGGTGCCTTGCCCAGAGTCACACAGTTAGCAAGTGATGGAGCAAGATCTTAAAGCCAGGGGGTCTCGCTGCAGAGCCTATGCTCTTCTTAAAATTACTTTCTACTTTCACTTCTCTCACCCCCTCACCTCCTCCAGTCATTTCAATCATTAGATCTGGCTGATATTCCCTGATAGCATCTATCACAGTTCCTGCTTTTCATTGCTCTGATCCTTATCTGTCTTAGTTAGCTATGCTGTGTAACCAATTACCCCAGCGCCCCAACTTCTAGTCACAGACCTGCATTAGCTCAGTTTCTGCAAGTCAGGAATCCTGCTATGACTTATCAGGGTCTCCAGGCTCAGAATCTCGCAGAAGGCTGCAGTCTTCTCCAGGCTCTGTGAGGAAGGACATACTTCCAAACACACTTAGGTGGTGGTTGGCAGGAAGCACTTCCTTGCAGGCTGTTGGACTGAGCCCATAGCTCCTCAGGGGCTACGGGACCACTTTGATCCCTCACCACATGACCATCATAGAGTATCTCACAACATGGCAGCTGGCTTCATCCAAGCAGCTGAGACAGTGGTGCCAACAAGCTGCAGGGGCAGGGGCATGGGTGGAAATGTGCCAACAAGTCAGAAGTCACAGTCTCTATAACCTAGTCTATGTCTTCTTCACTAGATGGCAGCCACAAGGATTGCATGAAGGTGTGAATACCAGCAGGCAGGGCTCCATGGGCACCGTGGCACAGCTCTGCCTGCTTGGAATATTGTCAATCTCGGTCTTGCTTTCCATTGTTCTAGCCTTGCCCAAGGCTGGCCCCTCTTGATTCGTTGTGTGAAATCATACAGTCAACCCTTAACCTATTCCCCGCAGTGAATCAACCATTGCTCTAAGAGTTGCCTTGCTAAACCAGTGATCTAATTCTGTTCCCCACTTTCTCAGAAGTCCCCAAAGGCCCATAGCCTGTCCCCACCAACCTCCTTAGACACAGAGCCTGCAGGGTCCTGCTTTGTGCTTGCTTTCTACAACCTTCAAGTGCTTGTAGTAGTTGCCCTACTCTGTGCAGACTTAGCCTTTAGCTCCGCTGTTCCTTGCACCTGAATTTCCCTTCCTCCCTTTTCTCTCTTTCTGGTCCAGCTCCTTAAGCCTCGGGCACTGTCCTGTCAGGAAGCATTCTCCTGACTGTCCTCAATGCTTCTACTTCCCACTCCCTGCAATGCCTCCCTCTTCTGTAGAACAGAAGGACCTGCCCCAAGAGAAGAACCTATCAGGGGCTGACCTCTTTTATTCCAGGGTGACCAGGGCAATTCCCTAGGGAGAGGCCTTTTCTGTTGAGATCCAATGAAGCCTAACCACTCAGAGTGCTTGGGCTGGAAATTGGTTGTTTCTTGGATGCATACAGCGGGCAGAGTTCCCAAGAGGGTGGCCAGGTTGAGTGGCATGAAGACAGACACAGCAGGCAGGCAGGACAGGACAGGGCCCCTGGGAGCTTGAGCCCTTGTCTGCAGCTCAGGAGCACCGTGGTTTGATTTCATTATAGGGCTGTTACCGTCTGTTCACATGAACTTCTGCAGCTATCTTGGGGAGCCCCAGTGTCTCACTAGCAGGCATGACCCTTGCCCCAGGCACATTTCACCATCTAACATTGGGAGCCTCTTTGTTTTGTTTCTTCTGCAATTGGGTGTAGTCAGAGCCTGGCGATGTTGCCCCAGAGCCACCTTAGCTGGCTCAGAGGGAGAATTCTTAATGATTGGCGATATGAAAATTGCACCCAACCAGTTATCTAGATGCAAGTGGAGAAAGTGCTCAGGAGAAAGACTGAGCAGCTGTGCTCTCCACGGCTAGGAGCACAGAAAGGGCTCCAGAGACCTCAACCAGCAGAGGCAAGAGGCTGGGCTCCCACAGGGGATGCAATTGCCACCAGAAGCCACCTTCCCAGGCCAGGCATGGGACTCAGTATTTCGCCTGCCTTTGCTCATTTTAGTCCTTGGAGGCAGCGGGGGGGGGGCTGTTATCATTGTCTTTCTTGTCAGAAAAGAGAGGTGCTGAGAGGTCATCAGTGGCCTACAGTCCCCACGGAAAGTCACACAGCAGAGTCTGACTGCAGAGCTCATGCACATACTTACAGAGCGTAAGGCGCTGTCTCCGGAACTTTCCATTCCTCCTCTCACTCTTGCCTGTTCCCTCCTCTACAAAATGGGGGTGACGAGAAGTCTTTGGGGGATTATGTGTAGCCATCAGAAGCACTTGGAACAGGGCTTGACCGAGAGCATTTTCTTTCTACCACTCTGACTGTTTTCAGGGGCTAAGATGTGGTTCTCCAAACCAGGGGCTGTGTCAGGAGATAGAATGTGAGCAGCACTCTCTGGACCCCGTGCCCGCCATGAGGTTTTACAGGAACTGTGGGACCTGCACACCTTATGGGCTCATCCTGTTCTAGGCCCTGCCCCTCCCGAGAACGCCAGACCCGAGGGAAAATGACCATGTTGCCTCAACAGACTGCATCTCCCCACCTCTTGAGCTCTTTGTTCTTGTGTTCTCTCCCTACCCTTCTCCCAGCTCATTTCTCCACATGCAGCCAAAATGCATCAACACATTCTGTCTCAGAGTCCTTCCCATTAAAGTTAAGGCCTAAGGGTTCCACTATGCCACTCTTCCAGGGGAGAAAAAACAGAAAGGAACGGCAAGTATTTGAGGTGAGAGCTGGTGTCCCTGTATAAAAACAGATACCGACTCCAGAGCTGAAAAATATGTGCATCTCGCTTCCAGCAAGGTAAACAAACTTCCCAGGTTTTACTGATGGCCAAGGCAAGCCTCCAAAAACACACATCACCTAATGATACAGCGCTTCTTCGCTTGCAACACTTCCCCTGAAGGACAGTGGTTCCCATGCGAAGGCTGGAGATTCATTTGAATCTGGATCTTAGTTTTTGAAAAGAATAGTTTCTAAATGTAAGGTGAGAAACAAGCTCTTGAGGGAGCAGAAATATCCAACACACACACACACACACACACACACACACACACACACACACCCGCTGTCTATAGGAGCGCCTCCTTATTTGAGGCCTAGTATCTCTCAGTTTATGGGATTTCACTGTACCAGTTAAAGACCCAATTTCAATGGACCATTCACTTCCACTTAAGGCAAAAGGCAAATGCCCTCTGGCTTCAAGGAAGCAGTTCAGCAGGGCAGGGTGTGGGGTACAATTGCTGTAGGTGCAGAGGGAGCTAAGGTTCCATCTGGTTGCCAGCACTGACTGAGACAGAGCCATGAGCAGTGTTCCTTTACACCTCTGAGCCTAAGCTGAAATGGGGATAGGCCTGGACCCCCGAGCAGAGCACTGGAAAGACGAAGGAGATGTAACTTCTAGGAACAGTGCCTGCCCACACTCAGCCAGGACCAGTGCAGGCCGGCGGCCCTAGATCTGAAATGCCTGTGCTCAAATGACTTTCCAATCGCACACATGTAGAACCTGAGAAAGGGGACATGGTGCAAATATGAAGTATCACACAACACCCCCGGTAGATGTGGCCGCAGCATCTTACTACTGTTGCAGCAAAGTATGAATATTTAAGTTCAGGTCAAATATTGCCCCCAAATAAATTTGGCACCAAATTTATAAAAATAATGTTGGCTTTTAGAACTTTTTGTACCTGAAATTACAGTTAGAGATGTGCACCTGATTGTTGAGGGCGGGATCTTTAACTCGTCCATGACATCCAGCCCTAGCTTGTTAGGATTTTAGTGACCCCAAATCACTTCACCGTATTCCTCACCTTAACCCCAGACCAGGTGACATAGCTGTAGCTGTTTTTAATCACAGGGAGGTGAAAGGAATTTCACTGCTGTGATTTGATGCCTCTTCGGCCTGAAGACTATAAGAGACTGTGAGACAGTTCGGTTTTACCATCAGCCACTGGAGAATGGAACACATATTTCCTCACAGAGGAAAACAAGTCCAGTTGTGAGAGGCGGCCTCCGACCAGAGTGCTCTCGGCTGGCGTGTACTGAAGCCCCACTCAGCCCTGCAGGGCTGGGAATGTGGCTGCATGGGGAGGAGGGATGTGGATGGTGGCCAGTTGGAATAAGAACAAAAAGTCCTGGAATCTGATCCTTGAGGCAGGCCTCGAGGCACAGGGGGAAGAGGGCAGCTGCAGAGAAATAGACCAAGAGGCACATGATGTTGTTTTGACAAATTTTGAGAGGAGAGAGAAAGGAGAACTTAGCCTGCCTTGGAGAAGGCTGGATTAAGCCCCTACTGGGTCTGCTCTGCTTTCTTTTTTTTAACAAGAAGCCTCACCTCAGTTTAGGCAGCAGTACTCAGGCGGTGAGCTCTCACTGTTTGCCTTCCCAGAGGGACTAGGCCTGGGAGGGGGTCTGGGCAGCTCCATGTGAGATGGAGCCCATGCCTGGCACACTGGCCCCTCCAAAGTGCAG